TCTTTTCTTTTTCTTTGAGAAGTGCTGTCAACCAAAGCATAAATATGTGTTTCTCTGTACATAAAAGTTCAATTTCACACGATTTGTTAATGTATGATATTGTTAATGTATGATAATAAAAACTTGATAATATTTTTCTGGATTCTTGCACTTTATTTGTATCATTGTCATATGAGAAGTACTCTTGTCCTTATTTAAAGATATTGAAACTAATTCAGGGCCACAAACTACATGTAGATCTGTACATGAAGTACACGGGAAGTAAAGTTGTTGACACAGGTAATGTACACCAAGGATCATTGCAGTTTCTCAGTTCCTCATCTGGTGCTAGTACTTGTACATGTATGACAAACAGTATCTTTGCCCTGTTACTGACTAAAATATCAGTTTTTTGCTGGAATAGTTCTGTGATTGACAGTGTTCTTGTATTAGGAATACAGTTGTACAAGGAAGTTTATCCAAACAGACACAACACTGACTCTTAAACTGATTTGCAGATCTGATTTGCATACTTGCATGTCATTTTACCTGTTGTACTTGTTTGTTGCTCTCTGGTGTTCTTGCTGAGACCAGAATGGAGAGTGCTATAAACTTGAAAATGCCATAGAAATCATGTTTGCCAATTTATGTCCATGCCAAAAACTTAACAAATTGTATGTTGCAACTTTCAAATGACAACAAGTGAAGGTAGTGTCATTCATGACCTGTTTGATTGGATACATTTTTACGACTTGGAGGCCATTTTTTTCCTCAAAAATCTATAAAAAAAATAAGCTTTTTCTAGCTGTTACCAGCTTTTTCTCAGATACGTGTCATCCAGTTTTGTTCAAAGTTGGTACAGGGACAGGTAATAATTGTTTACAAGTGCACATCACATTATATGTTTAACAAGTTATAAATTGTCTCGGGGAAAAACCAAATAAATAAATTTTACCCCACCCCCTAAAATTGTAACACATCAATTCTGAACAATTAATAACAGAATTTTAATACAGCTCATAATGAATTAATTCACTCTGACACAAACCCAGTTCAATATAAGTTTTTAAATTTTTTTCTGAGCGGGGGCTATGACATGTCATGTCTTGTAATTACCTAATTTGCATAATTAACCAATTTTCAGCTTTTACACTGATATTCTATTTCAATGAAACTTGGTACATTGATGCTCCAGAACAATGCACAGACTTGCTCAGTTTTGAATTAAAATCAGATCATATTAATTACCTAATTTGCATAATGAATTATAATTTATGGTTCTAATCACATTTCAATAAAACTTTGTACATAGATGGTCTGTGACAGTACTTATCAATTAATTCAATTAATCTTGGTACATATGTACTTCAACACAATGTGATGATCAAATTAGTTTTAGGTTTATATACATCTATAATAATTACCTAATTTGCATAATAATTTACTTTTCAGCTTTCCACTAACTTA